CTCTCTCTCTCTCTCTCTCTCTCTCTCTCTCTCTCTCCCCCCTCCCTCTCCTTCATCCCTTCTCCCCCCCTCTCTCTCTCTCAGTTTCTTTTATCAAAGTATAGAAAATACGACGATTTCAAATCGAATTGAAATTGAATCTCTTCTAAAAGCTAAAATTTATGCTAAAGTCGAACTCAGAACTTCTCCAGTTTTTGCTTGCATCGTACAATGAACGCACGGCAATCTTTTTGCACGATTTTCATAGACAAGAATTTTGTTTTGGTGCACATAAAAAGAAAACAGAGAAAGAATATAAAATAAATATCGTTAAGATCTATTTACCAATTGCTAAAGATCATAACAAAAAGTGAGAATGCAACCTAAAGAAACGGAACAACAAAATTGATACGTATAGTCAACAAAATGCACTTTTTGACTATCACGGACAATTAACAAGACATTGACACAAAGCATAAGCCCCTGTGCAAACCCTCAAACTTAAACGCGCGCGCGCGCGTGTATGTGTGTGTGTGTGTGTGTGTGTGTGTGTGTGTGTGTGTGTGTGTGTGTGTGTGTGTGTGTGTGTGTGTGTGTGTGTAAAAATCACGCTCAATCTAGTTGATTCGATATAATCCGAAAGTAAAGTGCCGAACGAGCTCATACCGTATCGTTACTAGTCGCTGCCACTAGTTGGTTTCCAAGTCTGGCAAGGTATAAAAAAATATAAACCGAATGATATGTTTGCGGGTAAACACAGTATCATACGCGCTACGTACCTATATTTTGCAACGTATTAGAATAATCGATAATATAATTGTACACATTATAGAAACGTTTCGATCCAATCACAAAAAAAGCATTACTCCTCGGACAATCCGATAACGGAGAAAGGAAAGCATTCTCATTTGCTACTGAACGAAACGATAATCATTCTCAAGATCTTGATCGATCATTATAGGTCAACGATGTTGTACGTCACATCGCTCACAAGACTCACGCCTCGACGAGACATATATATAAACGTATTCCGTATATAAAATGGAAATAAATGAAGTTGCAGAAAATGATGCATGCGTGCACTCGCTCAGCCATCACGCATTAAAACTGAATCCAAATCAAGCAAAGAGCAAACACGAACGAATGAACTTGTTTCAATGATGTTGATGTAGTTGGTCCAAATTTACGTCATCAAACACGTTCCATCTCTCGTTGGTGTATCAAAGGAAAAGCTACATTCGTCCATGTTCATCTGTAAATATTCGATCGCAATCGTTCGACCTTGCTAGTTTGAATTCACTTTTAGATTCGCATGAGCATACCTCTCTCCAGCCAACTTGAGACTTTTAATTAGTTCCATATCAAATTCCTATCGATAGCACTAATTTGCCTTTCTTGCAGTGTGAATCGCGTTATAAATATCTTACAAATATCTCTTGTATTGGTGAAGAGATGAAGCATATGCGAGTGCATGCATAGAAAACCGATGTAAAAGACAAGAGATACACACACATATATATATATATATATATATAGACGGATGGATGAATCTGACCTCCTCACTAGTTGACTTGTCCTGCCGTTGACCCGGCGAAGAAGTCAAAAGATCCGGTAAGACCGAGCTGGGACGCGAACCCGGAGACGAGTCCGATCTCTGGAAATCACTGCCTCTCGAACGGTCGCCACCCTCGCGATTCTGCAAATCAGCGAATCTCCATTTTAAAAAAGTGGTCAACCAAAACAACGAATGAAAAAAAGAGTAGAGATAGAGAAGAGATTCAATCGAGACCTAAATTCTTATTTTTATTAAATATCTTTATTATCTTTATTAAATTATCTTTATTGAGAATTATCATTTTTCCCCTACAAATTCTAATCCTGATCGTTTCTCATTCTCATACGCAGAATTGATGTAGAACTGATAACAGATTATTTTTTTGCTTTCTCGATATATCATAAAGAATTCAAGTCTCGATACTGCCGTGGTATGCACGTACATAGGATAAGGAGAGCAAATTACACTAATTAAAGAGATAGAACGATTACATCGAATGTTAATATCGAGAGACAGGAATCAGGAATTGATAATTAACGCGGAAATAAGGCCAGCAAATATGAAAAACAAATTAGAAAGGAACAAATTATGAAAGTGCGGATTCCGTCACGGGAAAGCAGAAAGCAAGTAGAAACAATGAAAGAACAAAAAACGGACAAGGAACTGCAAAGAACGTGAGAAAGCTATGAAAAAAGATAATGAAAATCAATGTAAAATAAAATAACAAAAATAACGTCGAAGAACTTATTTCGATGGTGCATCTGTAAAGAGATTGTGAGTTATTGATTTCTTTTCACGGATGCGCAATAAGTTGTATGACTTAAATCTTATTGATCAACATATATGTGCAATACGTAAAAAGAAAATGCAATCATGCAAACTCAATTAGCTAATATCGATCGTATTTGATTGCTTCTTAAATTTATTTTATTAAACGTAACGTCATTAATTCACCAAACATTCTACATCTTATAATTCATCTTATTATAATAATTTACCAGGAGCTCTAATATTCATTATCCTGAACTTTATTATGCTAATTTTAATAGAAATGTAAATGAATAATCTAGATAGGAGATACAATGAGTCACAATCGCTTGCACAAAAAAAAAATACAATCTACACAATAAACAAAAAAAATTTAATAGACTAATAATGTACAACGAGTTATACGTTATCGTTTGTTGTGCTTCTATCATAGCAAACTAGGCTTATACTAACAAGCTAATAAACTAAATGCAATTATCGCTTTTATTTCGTGCGACGTTAACGTGACAATCACACTCTTTTTAATTCTCGGCTAATGGACATAAGATAAGGATATCTGAAATTCGGTCCTCGATTTTCAAGAGTTCTTACCTGATGCACATTAGCCTTTAAACGAAATCTCGGTGATTGAAACAGACACAAAATCGTTACACGCGTCATGCCGGAAGAACACATAAGAGACAAAATAAAGCATGCTTAGCACGTGCTGCAACACACGAAGACACAATATATGGCCGCTGTCTCAATACGCAGATCTCAACGAGGCACAACATTCGTACATGTCGGAAGCGTCATGCAAGACGATGCTCGTGATAATAGACACAGCCTCGTACGATGTTTACAAAGTGATCCATCGTTTATTTCCTGTTCCTTGACTTCTCTGAGACTGTTCTCTGCCTTAATGCCGTCCTCTTCTCTCAGTACTTCAATCTTTGTCAAAACATCGTTTTCTTCTTTTCTTTCCTTATCTTTTCCCTTGATCACATAGGATCATGCATTAGAAATTGCATTATAACACAAAATGAACACGCCAGGCCAAATTTTATCGTTATCATTGCTCTCTCTCTCTCTCTCTCTCTCTCTCTTTCTCCCCCCCCCCTCTCTCTCTCTCTCTCTCTTGACCTCGCTCACTTTCTTTCCATTCTTTCTCATTCTCTATTTCTTTCATTCTTAGGATGCAAAAATTTGGCTCGAGTAAATAGGATTTCTGGAAGACAGATACTCTCAAAGAACGTGACGGCGATTATTATTGCATTGTTAATATGTTTAGTTGTATTTTAGTAACTCACATGTTAATATTTAAAGAGCCAATATTATGTATCATATCTCACAAAACTGGCTCTATGTGTGTTGCGACTATTTTAGTAAAAAATTCAATATAAACATTTTCTTATTAGTAAAAATTGTACTTCAATAGAAAGATTAGAGGAGAAAAATTTAATCAAAATAAAGATGCTCAGTTATAAACTCGTACTTTGGACGTACGTATCAATGTCACGAATATTCTTCTATACACGACTTTAATTCGAATGCTCTGATAAAAAAATTTTATCAATAGTTCTTATTTGAACGCTGCACTTTCAATTATTTCCGTAGATATGTTAACAGAAATGAAAGTATCAAATAGAATCGTGAAGAGAGATCACATTGAAACATGTTAATGTAATAATCAGAAAAAAGTCATGATCTCCATGATTTATCATTACGAGTTTTCGGCAGTATTTTTTTATTCATTGCCGAATCTCGCGGCGTGTCATTGCGTCGGTGGTAACATTGTCGAATATCTCGAAGAAATTCCGTAATCCTCAGTTCTCAGTCCCAGATTTCGTATTTTCGTCGCCGCAGAAATGATGTTTGGCGCTTTTCCACATAGTATAGCACTCATCACGGTAGAGGACAAGATTCGTTTGCCAAGGACAAGGACACAGTGATGAATGGAAAACAGGAGAATCTGAATTACCGAGTAGCAATTAATAATTCGACATCTCTTTTGTGTTAACCATATCCTCGTATTAGTGAGTATTCACGTAAAATCCTGCAACCGTATTGACAGACATTTCAAAAGCTTTAAACAAATAGAAACATCACGTATGACGATTAAGATAACCCAGATGAAGAAAATCGCTGAAGAAAATAATGCTCATTAATGCTACTCAGCAAATACATTCGCAAAAAGCCTCTTGAAGAGCGAAGGGAAGAGTGAATAAGATGTTTTATCTCAGCAGCATCTTCTAGCGAAAATCTCCCATGTCCTTAGTAACAAGTAGGAACTAATAGTATTAGTGACTACTAATAGTAGTAACAGTAGTAGTATTAATGGCAGTAGTAACAGTAATGGTAAAATAAATATAATAGGAGTAGTAATATAGTAATGTTAGTAATAGCGGAAAATTAGTATTATAGAGATTGTGACGTATTAACGATATTCTAACATTATGTTTTGAAAATCCCATGTCGCTTTCACATGAAAATAATGAAGAATATAATCAAAGATTATGTCAGAGATGATATTAATATAGCTAATGTAGCACTAGTAATTAATAATGTATCGCTGCTACTTGACGAATCGTGAAAATGAATGACACAAGAAAAGAAAATACGCCTAAGAGTCGAACGTAGCTGACTAGCTTTCTACGTAATCGTTATGTCGTTGGATGTCGAAAAACCAGTCACGATTATCTCAAGAGGAAATGTGAAGAATCGAAGTGTCCACGAGTGTCATAGGGTACGAACGAGTTGATTAATTAACCTAGTATTCATGATATATATTTACAAATGGATTACAGAAATTGTACTAGCAATGAACAATATATATGAAGAATAAATGAATAACTCGACAGACACTTCGAAGATGTAAGTTTTGGAAAGGGGTAAGGATCAGGGAAGATAACAGGCAAAAAATGTCAATATAAGGTAATAAGAAAGGTTTCTTTCAGGCAAGCACACAGGCAGGACTCGCGAAAGGCTCGCGAAAGTTTCTCACGACTCGCGGGCTGGCGATTCGTCTAGGGAACTGACCTGAGTGACAACGGGGCTGTACTCGCTGGCCGTTGTACTGGCCATGGACTTAATCGTTCCTGCATCGTCGACTATGGCAGATGCCGCAGCATCCGAAGGTCTACAACTGCGTCTTCTTGCGTTCTCGTCTTTATCGCGTCCGAAATCGTACCTCCTCGCCTCATGCCTACTACCGAAGACGATCTCGCTCTCGGTCTTTTCTCTCCTGGGCCTCTGAGGCCCCTCGCGGCACAACGAGAAATCCGTTAAGACAGGCTCTCCGGAGTTGAGGACACTGCCACCTTTCTTACCAACAATGCCGGCAACGCTTATCTCGCTTCCGCGTCGATTACCGCTAGCGAATATACTAGATCTTGAGGAGTCCGACGACTTCTGCAGATACGCCGAGTGCCTTGCAGACGGGAAGAAGTCTGAATTCTCACGACGAAAGGCACGTGCGAAGACACTCGATGCATTACCCAGTTTCGAATCACTCTCTTGCCTCCTGTGAATCGGTTTCAATTGCTGTTGCTTTTGATGATGCTGTTGCTCGTGTTTCCTTCGGGCTAACTGCTCCTGTCTCTTGAGCGTTCTTTCGCTAGACGAAGATGAATGATCCTCGTTGGATCTAGACTTGCTCGCTTGACCAGTTGCTTCTTGTTGATGCTCCTGTTTCATTTTATCCAACTTTTCATTAAAACCCTGAAAGAAGCGGGTAAAATCCCACTCCTTCAGAAGGAGCTGCTCATCTATCTCTGAACGCCGATTGCCGCTAGCCGTTGCACGATCGTCTGACATCTGACTAAGTTTCTAGAGTGTGCGTACGATGGCGAAGGTAATGGTACGGTGACAGAGAAAAAAAAACAAGAAAAAGAAATGCGTGCGATAACAATGTGAAACGATGACTGTCGATGATGGTGATTGTGATGTAGTATAATGATATAATGTAATAAGAAACGACTATCTTTGCGGCAGTAATAAATCTATAATTAAGTTGGAAATGATAAAAATTTCAAGATTAATTTCAACACAAATGTAAAAATTGAAAAGGAAGATGCAATATAATTGCAATTACACCGCAGCAACATAGTCAATCTATAGCGTATGTGATCGTCGTTTGTATATGAATGTGCATGATACATCGTACGATAGCGGCAAAAGTACAGACACAAGGCAGTGCGCCATAGTGCTCGCTTGGAATGTATAAAGTTCAATCTTGACGAATACGTGGAGCGAACAATAAAGGGAACGGACAACATTACTGATTTAGTCCCGATTATCAGTTAAGGTACGTATATATTTACAAAAAAAAAGTAAAAAAAAAAATAAATATGTCGCAATCGCTCGTGTCTTCTTCCCTTTCCGTCACCCTGTTAAGCTAGCTCCCCCTCCCAATCAGCGCTAAATAAATTTTAACACATTCCAAAATTACGTGCTAGTTAGGTGCTGAAGTGCGAAATTAGGTGATCCAATCGTTTGGTAGGAAAAAAAAGATATTGGGGGAGGGCTGACTTAAGTTAACCCCTCCCCTCTTGCCAAGAAAAATAAATATTTATTGTGTAAATGAAAAAATACAGCAGAATTAAGTGCTAATTAGGTGTTCTAAGAAATGATTAAAATATTTCGAAAATATATTATATACAGAATTATACGAGTATACAGAACTTAGACGCCAGTCAAACGGTCGGCTCACAAGAAAGAAGTTGCCTTAAAAAATAAGATGCTCCGACTTTGGTATTAGACTATTTCTTTTTTAATATTATTTAAAGATAGCAAGTCACCAAATTAGGTGCTCATTCCGTTTGGCAGGAATTCAAACTCGAAGGTTGACTCACAAGATAGAAGATACCTTAAAAAATTAGGTGCTCCAACGATATCAAAATATTTCTTTTTTAATATTATTTAAAGATATCTAATCGCCGAATTAGGTGCTCGTTCTATTTAACAAATTTCTCATAAACAGAACGAGCACCTAATTCGATTAGATGTCTTAACAATATACATATAAAAAGAGAAATATTTTAATACTAAATACGTACGAGCACCTAATTCGGCGACTTGACATCTATAAATAATATTAAAAAAAGAAATATTTTAATATCAAATTTATCGGAGCACTTAATTTTTTAAGGCAACTTCTTTCTTATGAGCCGACCGTTCGACTGGCGTCTAAGTTCTATATATAATTCTGAATGTAATATATTTTCAGAATATTTTAATCATTTCTTAGAGTACCTAATTAATACTTAATTCTGCTGTATTTGATTTTTTCATTTACGCAATAAATATTTATTTTTATTTCGTGGGGGGGAGGGGGCTAACTTAATGTTAAGTCAGCTCTCCCCAACGCCTTTTTTTCCTGCCAATCGATTCGAGTATCTAATTGTAATTAGTGACTAATTAGCACCTAATTTTGGAATGTGTTAGAATTTATTTAGCGTTGATGGAGGGGGGGCTAACTTAACAGGGGGGTCTTTCCGTTCATCAAATCTGATCCATTCTCACATTAACAGACTTCTGGATGAACAAGAGAAAGAGGGATAGGGAGAGGGGAAGAGGGAGCAAGAGAGGCAGGGAGCAAGAGAGGCAGGGAGGAAGAGAGAGAAGGAGGGAGGGATGGCGAGAGGGAGAGCGGGTGTGCAGGTGTGTGTGTGCGCGCGCGCGCGTGCGCGCGTGTGTGCGCGTGCATGTGTGTGTGTTTTATGTAGTTAAGTTTTGATGTACTAATGCTCATAAATGAGCTAAATAAGTTAAACGGGGAAGAAAATACGTCAACTGCTTTGCCCAAACTACCAAAACGTAATTATATAAAATCTGTACGTTACGTACCAACGGTATATGAAAATTTCAAGTTATACCAAAATGAAATATATCTGAACGGAAGAGAAGAGTTCTACAAATGTATATTTCAGCTTGCATCGCAAACTTGGAAAGAGAATTACTCACTCGTTTCATGACTAGCGTACGATCTCCCGATTCTTCCTCATCGGGGGTTGGTGGAAGCGGACGATTCGGTGCTCCTCCTATAAAGATTAGACAAAAGCAAAGTATTAAATCACAATGCGTAGAATCATTAACAATCCTCCCGGAAAGTGGCTTTCGCGTACCTTTCGGTTTATCCTCGTGATGGGAGTTTTGAGCATTGTGCGAAGATGACGACGATGAATCCGACGACGGTCTGAAAGGAGAAAATTCGGGACTGCAGCGATGGAAATACAGATTGCAGTGGGACGACGTGACGGTAGATGAAGCACACATAATGCATTGTTGATGTTGCGAGGCCAGGCGACCAAGACGACCATATGACGCAAAATACCGAAGCATGGTGGAAATGGCATGGTGGATAGGCATGATGGAAGATGAAACGAAATGAGTTTACATTAGTAAGATTAATACAATTACAGCGTCACTTCTTACTATATTTATTATATTATAAAAGCGTTAAAGAAATAGCTTTGCATAGTGTTGTATTTTATATTACCACATATTATTTGTTTCTTATTGGAAATAATTCGATGATACATATAAAATAACATATAATAAAACGTATTGTTCTGTTAAAAATTACATTTCCGAAAATTTTTGGTGACCAAAGTTCACCGAAGATCGCACAAAAATGTAGTGATCTTCAAAAATAATTTTATGAATGTTAATAAATTCTAAACATTCATTTTATTTTCCAAAGAAATTTATTGCGCAAATAAGTTTCAAACTGCAATTACAAGTACTGTTGAATCAATATATGCTTCAATATCAACTAATTAATAGCACATGTTTTTATAGCAACTAATGACAAAAAATAATTAAACCTTAATGTAGCGAGCATTATTTCAATGTTATCAAATATTGCCAAATGTAATATTTCTGATGTTGAAATGTTAATGAAGCGGTAAATTCATTTACTTACAGCGGCTTAGGCGGGTCACTAGCCAATAAAGTACCATCGTTTCTCAAATTATTCCCACCAGCATCCTCGAGATCATCATCGCTGTCACTCTCAATCGACAGAGCCTAGAAACGACAAGGTAATATATCGTCATTAGAGCGTTTCTCACTCATTATGTGATAATAATTTTTGTATCATGTACTTTTTTTACCTCGAACTAGATGCAAGGCGAAGTTTATGTGTCTCACGCAATAAGAAGACAAAGAAAACGGAAGAGATAATGTAACAACGAAGGAATAGGAATGCAGGCATATAAGTGAATTTTGCTGCTGAAATATCAATCATGATCGCACGTGGCTACAATCGCTTACTTGATCGAGAATACTGGAAGATTGCGGTATCTGTTTGTTGTTCTGATCGTTACCACCTGCAGACTGCACCGAGTTCGATGTAGATGAGGCTGCAGGGCCCTTATGTTGCCTGTTTGGCCTTGGCGGGGCCTCGGGGCCCTGTGACACACCAAGCTCGATGAGTTGAGCAGCCAGTATCTCCATGTCCTACCACCCACACGCATACACGCACAACCCCGTTAGTCACTGTTCCGAGACCTCTGAGAATCTTTTGGCCACCATCGGATAGGCAACGAGGTAGCCAAATAAGGCAGAAAGGCAAGGAGAAACGTTAAAGGAAGCGTAATGTTGTGCGCTTAAGCGGAACTACTGATCAAATAAAATTTAATTAGGTTGATTCTGAAATAATACATAGCCAAAGTATATTCTATTTATATATACTTCAAAGAAACAGGTAATGTAAACATTATTACAAAGAATGCTTTCTGTTCAAGTTATAACTATTCCTTTGTCGTGACAAAATATTATAAAAACATTTTTGTGGTAAAAAAAAAAAATAATACAATAGCAACGTAATATTACAATATGTCCTTAATTCTCTTCATGAATCGTTAAAAAATTCTGAGTGTCAATAACAATTATTTGGATTTACAAACACAAACAAATTGATAATTTATTCGATCATGCTGTTAACACATGATGACAAATCAACTTGCATATCTCAACTTGCAAAACTATTTTTAGAACTTTGTTGCAACAAAGAAAAAGTTTACAACTAAAAAAAAAGCAATGTTATCAAATTCGTGTTTATATGACCTGTTTTAGCCTTAAAGCGAATAAATTATGTCTTCTAAACTATGTCTATTTCAGAATCGCCCTTTGCAATGTTAATATGCTGACTCAAACGCAACACGTTTAATGAAACGCTAGATCATCTATATTAGAATTATCTATAATAGTAGAAATTAACACTAAAACAATAAATATGACATTGAATTTATAGTTTTAATTTTTGTTCACAATTGACCATCATTTGCCATTCGAAAGACGAGAGATATACAGTTTACCAGATATATTCAATAGTTATAAGATGTAAGAAGTAAGACTATGTCCCTACATTTAAAAATATTTGTAATTTAAAAACTATAAAAACAATAATCCTATAAAAAATCATGTGTGTGTTTTCCTCATCGCACGTATTTGTTCTCTCTCAAATTAAATAAATAACATATTTCTCATATCTTCGAATCTTATAAATCATTTAGGTATTCTATTGGTGGAGCATTCTGCATATTAATTGCTACAAATATGGAACATATCGATTATTTTTTATATACATGACTAATCGTAAATATTACGCTTATATTATAACAATGCGATAATACAGAATGAATGATATTATATCTCGAAACACTAACAAACGTGTTGTGTATGTAGATTTAAACGTATAATCTAACAAAGAAAATCCACTTTGTCAGATAACACAGACCGACATGAATTTTGACCCAGAAACAACAGTATGTAATCCCGAAGGTTTTTGACGTGCTAAAACAAAATCCGTAGCCCAAATTGCTCCATCACGTCAGATTTCCGAGATATTTTAACCTGAAAATGCCAAAACAGCCTATTTCGGGCATTTTTAGATTAAAATTTTTCATAAACATGAGATAGAGAAATATGGGCTGCGGACTCAAATTCAGCACGAAAAAATCTATGAAAATCACCTATGATTATATAAATAGGTCAACACAGTAAAGTGAAAAAAAAAAAATAAATGCATTGCAAGTATATTTACTGACCTTAAGACGCCTCCAGACGGTATGGCCAACGTATGACAACATTAGCAAATATCATACACATGCATGATATACATAAAATTCATATTGAATGTAGTCAATATTTAGCGAATGTGTGCAATTGGCGTATACATTGGCCACATCGTCTGGAAGCGCCTTAATGCCCATATCAGATTACGGATTGACGATTTTAACGGTTGCCCGGTTCTACTTCAACCAATCACGATGTAGCGAGTCTATCATAATTTGCTGAAATAGACTACCGTCAATCGTAATCGTCAACCTGTAGTCTGATACTCCGCTTTAAAGCCAGTGAACATACTTGGAATATATTTTTTTTTTTTTCCATTTTACTGTGTTGACCTATTTATAATCGTAGATGAGTTTCGTAAATTTTTTTCATGTTGAATTCGAATTTGCAGCCCATATTTCTTCATCACATCACATTTACGAGAAATTTTAATCTAAAGATGCATGAAATAGGCCTTTTTGATACTTTTAGGTTAGAATATCTCGGAACCTGACGTGATAGAGCAATTTGGGCTACGGATTTGGTTTTAGAATGCCAAAAACTTTCGGGATTACATACTGTCGTTTTTGGGTAAAAAAAATGTTTGTAGGCCTGTAATTAGAATAAAAGCTTATATGGAACAAGGCAAGTGCTCAAGCGAGTTAAAAGGATATATATATATATATTTATTATATAAATACGGATAAATTTAAGAATGAATCAGTGCATTCCAGAACACATTCTCTTATAAGTGGTCGTTGAAAAGTTATAAACAATTTTTTGTTTAAAAAATCAAAACTTCGAATAAAAATTCCGAAAAAATTCTATAAGCTTAATTGGATCAAAATGGATATTTTTTGTCTCCAAGACTTTTTTGTTCAAATCAATAGTTTATGAGATAAAAAATGTCTAAACTTGAAAAATGACTACCTTTACGATTTTTTTCTCGCAAACTAATCATCCAATCAGTGCGAATAAAAAACGAAAATATTCGGCCAATCTTAATCTATAACAAGAATTTATTTTATTTCGATCTGTATTGTTGACAGTGAAAACTTTATTATATAAGGTGCTACGGATGCGCCTTCATTATAATAAAGTTTTCACTGCACATAGGCTCGGGTTCGTGCGCGCGCGCACGTGTGTGTGTGTGTGTGTGTGTGTGTGTTACAGCGCCACACCACGATAAATGACTGAACTTATAGGCGTGGAAGTGACGTTTTAACGACGAAATTTGTGTTGCATGTCATTTCGTTATTATTTGCTTAATTGTGAAAATGTGACTTGTTTCGTACTTGTCAAAGTTATAATTATTGAAGAAAACTAAAGTTATCTTAGAATTTTATATGTGAAAGTGTATTTTTCACTCGTTTCAATAGCTATCAGACCATGTGTTTCTGCCCCGAGTATAGACTCACTTTATGTGTTTTTTACGAGCATTTGCTGATTGTCAAGGCAGGAAAGGACAGTTTTGTTCGATTTTTACAAGTGTTTTAAAGCGATCTCGTCATTTATGTTTATCCAAATTGTCTTTATTTACAAATGGTATACAACATAAATTAACGTATCATTTCTCGCTTCTGACGTCACGATTCCAATATAACCGCCGCGACTACCTTTTTTAGACTAAGAACGGAACTATGAATATTGCCCAGAGTTTCTGCACTGATCGTCATTGTCAAATCATCCGTATTACGTAAGAAAAGCGATTTGTCAATATACATATAAGAGAAAGAGAGAGATAAAGTGTGCGTGTCATCTTACCTCTGGCTTCTTCGGCGGCAGCTACGGTAGGTGTGAACATAGAAAAGAAACAAAAACCGAATACATTCCATGTTGAATGCTAGATCCCTCTGTGTACGTGTGTATATGTATTATAGTAAAATGCATCAGCGCGCGTGTACGTCAATAACGCAATAGCGACGTAGAACGCGTGCAATGGATATGATAAAAATATATAATATATCGCAAGTGTATAGAGAAAGAGGAAACATACAAATAAGTGAACTATGCGTTGTATAGAAAATATATATACGTAGATCATAAATACAAAATTTAAGGCAAAACTGCAAAGGAAAAGGAACAATAGCATATGCCTTACTACAAATCTGTTCATCTATCCTTTTTGTTTATATCTATTTAGGTATGTGAGTGCCCTTATTAACAAAGTGTCATAAAAAAAAGAGGAGATTTGATTTAGATAATTAGAAAAGATAGGAGGGATATATGAAAAGTGCAAGTTTCTTCACAAAAACTTACCATAGGCTTGAAGACACTGTTTCTTTGAGGCGCAGGCTGCCCGCTGGATCCTCCCCCTCCTCCAGCAGGTGTCTGATGATTAGAAGGCGGTGTAGATACTTTGTGCGGTTGTCGAGGATCATCTCTGGGTGTCGGAGGTAATGGACGAGACGGTGGTTGTGGATCGGGCACCACTATTTACACAGTTATCGACATTAGTAACGTGAAAAAGATCGACTATAATCTTATAAATCATTAACCATACCTATGAGTCTGTGCGGTATAGCGGGTCTCGCGGGTGGTCCAGGTTCCGGCACTTCTCTTTGAGGTCTACTTCCTGGTTTTTCTTTAGCGACAGGCGCTTGTGGAGATACATCTTGCGTCAGAGTTCTACCTTCCTGAATCTGTTGGAAATTACGGCGTAACGTATCACCTCCAGGTGCTTGAACTATAGATGACGGTTCGCCTGCCAATGCCGGTTCATCCTCCTCGTTTTCGCTACCACTATATCGATAATCATCTCTTTCTATAATAAACGACAAATACATAACGATTATACAGCAAAGATAAAATAAGTTTCTAGAAAATAAAAGTCCCATTATCATTTTCATACCTTTCTCCTGTTTGCGTTTTTTACAACGATCAATGTGATCTTTAAGCTGTATTCTGACTTGTCTTTCTGTAGGTTGGTCCCGAATAAACGGATGTTTAAGAAGCTGTTCTGTATAAGGTCTTTGATGATAATCCTTTACCAGTACCGTTTCGATAAATCCGTGAAACTTTTTGGCCCATTTTTTCGATTTGAGCCGTGGTGGTGGATTACGAGGAATCAAAAACAAAGCCTATTCAACGATAAAACAATATATAATTGTATAATATATAATTTTAAACACAAGAATGTTATGTGTTATAAAAAGTACATAAAAGTTAATCGTCAAAATTACTAAGGACTCACTCTCATGGGATGTAAATCGCAGAGCGGAGGTTGTGATTCAGCCATTTCTAAAGCGGTAATTCCGAGCGACCAAAGGTCGCTTCTATTGTCGTAAGTAGCGTCTGGATTCTCGTCACATGCAATAACTTCTGGAGCCATCCAGTAAGGTGTACCGATAAACGTGTTTCTTCTACCTATTGTTCTGTCCAACTGTGCGCTAACACCAAAATCAACTAAAAAAAATTATCACAGTATAATTAATATACAACGATAAAATAAGCCAAAATAGATATGTATTAATTTGATGTATAAAATTTGTCTTAGAAAGTTCCATTTCAAATTATCAATAGTTTTTTTTAAAAAGATTCGTTAATTTCTCTCTACATGAAAAAATACATTAAAGTCAACGATAATTTACTTTAATGGATAAAAATAATTTAAAAACTATGTAAGATTTGTTTAACGAATATAACACGAATCTTTTGCATAAATCTAATAATTAATAATTGAATTTACCAAGTTTGACTTCCGCATTGTCAGTCAACAAAACGTTTTGTCCCTTAATATCTCTGTGGATAACTTTGTTGCTATGAAGATAACTAAGTCCCCTCAATATTTCTCGCGATATATAAGCTATCCACTCCTCCTTTAAGCTCTGGCCCTTAGTTGACTTAACGAGATCCGTGACAGAGCCAGCTCCGCAATATTCCATAACCAGCCATAATTGATCGTCTTTACCGGGTGATGACTTCTTTACGAAGGCACCGTAATATGTAGCTATATTCCTATGATTCGAGTACTACAAGGCAAAAAGGAAACATTGTCAAAGGAGGATGTTAAAAAAGTTCGATTTTTGGCATTCCTAAAAAAAATTCCTGCGGAACCTTATAATTAACTACGAAAAGTTGTTGTTTCGGATCCACATGAAATAGTAAAAATAGTTTTATATCCCAGAAATGCGGGGAAAGTAGAGTGTTTTTATGTTATATGTGTCTTCTTTTGTAAGTCGAATTTTCATATACCACGCTAGAACTTATCATGAATTGGATATATTGCAAAAAAATTCATAATAAGTTTTAGTGTGGTATACGGAAATTTAACTTACAAAAAGAGACACATGTAACATAAAAAAAATCTACTTTCCCCGCATTTCTGGGATATAAAACTGTTTTTATTATTTCATGTGGATCCCAAACAACAACTTTTTGTAATTAACTAAGGTTCCTCAGGGAGACCAAAAATCAGACTTTTTTAACATCCTCCTTTATCTGCATTAATATACTCCGCTAATTATCCAGCACTTTAAAATATTTATTCAAAGTAAAAAAAAGTAGGTAATTAAGTCACTCACCCGCTTGAGGACATTTATTTCCAATTTTATTTCTTCCTCCTCATCCTGCAATGAGATAATCAGTTTATTAAAATATGCAATTAATCGAATGTTTCTTCTAATTTTTTAAGCCCGTTCTATTATACAATTGCATAAGCGTAATTGTAAGAATTGACCAATCACAACCAAATATGGAGAGAATATTCGACTGTGATTGGTGAATTCTTACAACTACAACCACTTACAACTACGCTTACGCCGAAATTGTAGAATAAGCTTTATATTACACAAGACAAAAAGTAAACAGTATATATTATTTACATATTTTAATGATAAAAATGTGTATGAAGCTAGCGTTTCGTGGAAACTCATTAGTTATTGAGAGTTCTGATTTCATTTTCAATAATTTTATAGTTCTAGATCGACTAAACTAATAGTTCTGTCCTTTAAAGCAAAAAAAGCGAAAAAACAAACTGAGACGTCAGGTTCACGCAGCATCTTTGTCCTACGCAAGTTTTGACTACAGATTCTTGTAAGATTTTAAAAGATACGTAGCTCTAGATGAGTTCTGGATGAGTTATAGATGAGCTCTGGCGATAAACAACATTATTTTCAATTTTTAATAATTCTTTCCTCCAAAAAATCACTTTTATAGGAACTAAGATAAGACGCTGGCCAATTTTCGACAGTTCTGTGAGTTCTATGGTAATTCTCGTATAGTTATGAACGTATCCTAACGTTTTCTAAAGAGTTCTGATTACACTTATTATTTACTTTATAAATAATTTTTATCGTACGAGGAAGACGCCTATACGGATATATGTGTGAGACACTGATCGATTTCCGACAGATCCGTGAGGTTTATGATACTCATCATGTAGTTCTGAACATATCCTAACGTTTTCCGAAGATTTCAGATGATATAAAGTATTTGTTAATTTTTTAAACAATTTTTATCACCCGAGAAAAGCGCTTTTACGGGTATACGTGTGAGGTGCTGATCGATTTCAGACAGCGGCATACACCATGAACGCAAGATATCCTTATTGAGTAGTTTATATTTGATTACAATAAACTATAATCGAATTTCGAGTTATACTATCCAAAGGAATTCGTCTTTTATTACAAATTTTCCGATAGTCCAAATGTCCGTAATTAATTGTTAATTGAACGCAAAATTTCCAGATTCTAATGATCACAACATTTCGTTACTAATTAAATGTTTGCAATTCGTGTTTCGAGTTATAAAATACAAAAATTAGTACCTGTGTTCCAGTCAACTTATGTGATCAATAATGAGAAAATAATCATAGAGTTTGTAAAACACATTGAAAACATTAACATTAATAAATTAGATGTTAATACTAAAAATTCTATAAGAAATGATTCAATTCAAATCTTAAATAAAACTAAACACAACAATCAGGTTAATAATACAGATAACAATACATTAAAAGAATGAATAAATACAGTTACGGATTAGACATTTCACCAAAAGTAAAATTCTTTTGTCTAGAAAAGCAGTCTGGCGTACATTAAGTAGGTAAGTAGAATCGAGACTTTATTCGCGCGTTACATGAGAGAAAAGAAAAGAGGGCACTAGCAAGAAAAGATATAAAGAGAGAGTAGAAAAGGAGACGGAAAAATAGAATGAAAGAGAGAGAAATGTGTGCAATCATAATCGTAACGCTGAATTCCGATACATCTTCTTGCTTTAACCCTTAAGTAGGCGCATAAGGTTAGAACATCAATCGCTAAAAAAATATAGAACACATTTGTTTTTGACCTTCGCTTTCAGTAGCTTCTTATCTTAGGACGTAATTTTGAATGTAATAGTAATCGCTACTGATAGATAAATGTTGATTTTAACAAACTGATTTATTTTTATTCTTAAATATCTCTCTTGGTTTACTTAAATTAAAAAAAAAAAAAAAAAAAAAGGTGGGGTGATTGTTGATCCCAAGCGCCCTTGTGTGATTTTACTCGTGCGCCTACTTAAGAGTTAATCGATTTATGTGATAAGAAACACTTAAAAGTGTAGCATAACGGTAATATTAATGCTATATCCTTACTTTAGATATAAATAGAGAAACAAATGTGAAGGAAATCTGTTTACTGGGAATATTCCATTAGATAAGTATCACCACGATTCATATTTGTGTAACTGTAAAATCACTTTTTATAAGCTAAACGTAACGATGATGATACAAAAGAAAAGCGCATACGTGCGAATAATTTATTCCGAGTAGTCATCTTCCAATAACAAAATATAAAATTCACTGTCAGGATTAGAATCCAATAACCAGAAAGCATAGTCAAATAATCGAAAATCGAATTCTGAAACTTTCGTAATCATCTAACAAATTGGAAAGAACATATTCGTTATAAAACCATATATTTCTTTCCATTTTGTGACATTACTCATTCTAGATTCTGGAAACCGTTAAGTATCGCTCGCAGATTAGTAAAAACGGTCTTTGTCTTTCACCGACGTTGATGATACGCGATAAAGAATTTGGAATAGCTTCGTATGTTGCATTCACATCTCTTTGGCTGATAAAAACTTATGTATTTACGATCGCCGACATTAAAGCTATTTTTTCATATTTTAAAGGAAGTCGATCTTTTCCCAATGGCTGTAGACCTCGTCGTACTCCAAGCCTATACAAATATGATGCATCATCTCATTAGCTCACGAAATTTTTCGCGCTTCTGAGAAGATGATCGCGACTATGATTCGTGCCCCAGTAGTGAAGTGAAGCCAACAATCCCCGTATCATTGAACTTTCCAAACAAAAGGGTAATTAAACCACAACATCGCCGCTGCAACCGAATACTTGCCTCCGTGACATCCATGACCTTGATGGCCGCCAGCTGACCGGTTTTGGTGTGCCGACCCTGTGGAACAGAAAAATGCATTGTTATTATATCGTTAAACGCATAGACATAGAGATAATAATGAAATGGCGTCATCATCGTACGTATGCCAAAACTTATCTCCTAATATTATCTCCGACTTTAAACTTATCGTTTTATAATATACATCTCTCGCATAAATCGAGCTCCCACCATCTACTCTCTCGTTGTTTACCCTTTTCATGTGAAACAACTATCCAACTTCCACTGTGACGTGGCCAAATATATAAATTGATTATTAAAAGAAAATGACGCGAAAGCACATAGATGTAACGTTAATGAAACAAAATACTGCATATTTCGTTTCCTCTGTTTAAAAAAATTTGTTTTTTTCCAATTAAAAGATATGGAAAATCCGAGAGATATATGGACCGATGTATGCCGCGGAAAAAGCGTCTCCGTACCGCTTTAGACGTTCAGTTTTTTTCCAACTACAATATACATAGCAGACATTGTCTATGGATATGTGCCGCCATCATTTTTGCCCTTTTAAATGGAATCGGCTACAGTCTCGTGTCTCTTTCTCTTTCGCTTCTAGACGAAAAAAACGAGATCAGGCAGTATCTCTTTACCTCTGGAATTTCTACCTACGTGTAAACGTCACTTGACAAATGCGACTTACACACGTACGGTTTACGATACGAGCATGTGATTTACGAGACATATTAGCTGCGTTCAGCAGAGGAAACCGCTCACTGAGCGTCCACTGAGCGAAAAAGAGACTCATCTATGATTAATATGTTTAATATTCTTGAGGCTTTCACGGGTGTTACCTATGTGACAATCTTGCGTTTCGCGGGTTTTCTCCGTGTTCAGATCCATTCTTGGAATGCCAACGTTTCGTGAACCTTGCAGTTCACTTCATCAGGGCGAGGAGCAGCCTGATACTAAGCTGTTCCCCCGGGTCGTTCCTTTTATATTACGCTGCTTGTGTGGGGGGGAGGAGGGGGGAGAAAATTGTGAGTCAAGGGGGGGGAGAGGAATTCGGCCGGTTTTCAATAGCCGGGAGGATGGTCTTCCATATTTTATTTATATTGTAGCCATTATCTCTATTTAGATTGTTAGGGTGTTTTTGTATTTCTATGGCTTCTCTATACTTTCTTGGAAAGTATGATGCAATGTTGGCTATTGTGGTCGTTTTATCGAACTGTATTTGATGTCCTGTTTCGATATTGTGTTCTGATAGTGCCGACTGCGTGGCGTGTTTTAGCCTGACATCGCGTTGGTGTTCTTTTATCCGTAGGTTGACCATTCTCCCGGTTTCTCCGATGTATACTTGCCCGCAGGAGCAAGGTATTTTGTATACTCCTGCGGAGCTGAGTGGAGGTCTTTGATCTTTGGGATTTTTTAAGATTTGTCCTATCTTTTTGGGTGGTTTGAAGATAGTTCGGATGTTGTGTTTGTTCAATATCCTGCCGATTCGGTCTGTTGTTCCTTTGACAAATGGAAGGAAGGCTAGTATCCTTTCGTCTGGTTGTGTGTCAGGGACCGTTGTCTTGTTTGCATGTTTATTGATTACTTTGGTTATGTCTTTTTTGTCGTGTCCGTTTTTTTGTAAGGTTAGTTTCA